TTAATAAAGCTTTATCGCACCATCATGTCGATGTTCTGCTCTAAATACACTCATATGATTAAGTGAGAATTTGTCCAAATGGCAATGTTCTTTTTGTTCTTGCATGGCTCATCCTGATCTAGTTTGGCCCTGCACGAAGGCGTTTAATTGCTACGTGTAGGAAGTGCGTCACTATTTGGACAATGTGACCCATTAATATTTCTGAGTGATATGCCACGGTTCACTCTCATTGCCCCACTATAATATAGGGGCGCTATATCCATCACGCCCCGTACTATAATACTGGTATACACGTTCTATATACAGGCAGCTCGTCATCACACGTACAATGCACCTAAATCGATCGTTTATGAGTACCAAGAAACGAGCCATTGTAGCTGAAACGAGATTGAGTTTAGCACACACGATGCCAGAGTCGGGAGCTTTTGACGGCAGAGTTTTTCACTGCTCGAGGGTTCGTATATAAAAGCCTGGTGTTAACTCATGCTTGTAAACCAATCTTTGACTTTCCCATGATGATATTGAGAGTTTCTTAATGTATAATGTGTACAGGACTTATGATCCTGGGTTCAGTGAAATTGATTTGAAACTACACAGGTGATAAGACAAATTTCCTTAGTTTTCTTAATTAACATCACACCTGACCGGTTGTTACGTTATTAATTACATATTTTTAGTCATGAATATAACTAAATTGTATGGTGATCAGTATTTAATATATATAGCTACCTTAATTTTCCTTCAATTCTCGTCTACACCAAATAACCCATACATTTATAAAAACGTTTTCTCAAGTGCATCGTGAATAAGAAGTCCGGAGTTGAACAGCTTGTTGACGTGACAGGCTGGCAAGCTCTTGGGAGGTCGCGGCGAGGATGCAATTTCTCGTAAGAAGTTCACATGTCGCCGCCTTTGATGTTATACGCTATATAGTTGCCCGAGAACGTATAGCAGATGGCGTATAATTCAACTGGAACGGCTATTTAGGTATATTTATATTACCTATTTTGTGAAAATAAAGAGGTGATGCTTTAGGCATTACAATGTAAAGGCATGATACCACCATGCACCGATGCAAATAATCCAATATTTATTTGTTCGATTTTGTGTTTGAAGCCTAAGACGGAAAATACATATGGAAGCTGCATGGCCGCGTATCTTTGATACTTGGTATGTTCTGGAATGTTACCAGACTTTTTTAAATGGTGTAATTAAGCCTTGCAAAAAATAAATTACATAAAAATAGGAGGGAGTCAGATTCAAAAGTAAAATGTTTTTATTTACCTCTATAAGTGAGCATTTTATACAAAAATATAACTCAGTGCTCACGGCAGTGAGTGACAGAGAGCGCATTTTCTCGTGCATAAATCAGTTAATTTTCAATGCGATTAGGACAGTGCATATTAGAGCTAGAGATGACGTATCTTTGATACAGGCATGCCTGCTTCTTAAAATCGACGAAAACGTGAAGTCACGGACGGACAGACGGACAGACAGACAGACGGACAGACGGACATGGCGAGCACAATAGTGCATTTTTTCTATAAAGAGAAAATGCGCTAAAAAGAAACATTTTCTATCAAATTTCAGAGGAGATTTATATTTTCCATTTAACGGGAGTTTGAGGCTGGGTTTAAGCTCGTATCGCGTTATTTATCGCACTTTAGTTTCAAAATTATGAAGTGAAACGGGCATGATGGCTCGAATGACGGGATTGAAATTAACAGTATACCCAATTATTATCAACACCGGACATAGTTCGGTATAGATAATAATTGGGTATCTATAGTTAGAGCTCATGAAGATACCAAGATAAGTATAATGACTAGTGTTGAGATGATCGTATCTCGAGAATACACAATCAAAATATTTTCTACCCATAGAAAATGACCGTGAAAAACAGCATTTGTGTTCGAGAACAGTTGAAAAAAAAACGAACAAAAATGTTCTTCGCTCATTGCATGGATCATTTAGTCCATAGTTTTAATTGCCTAAACATTTATCTGGTCACTTTTATCGCATTGTAATTTGCTTGTACGTGAATGAATGATTAAGAAATGAATACAGTTGTCACTATATGTCTGAAGTGGGCAAAATGCATATCGCAGGTGCCTTGTAAATCGGTTACAGGAAACAATACAGGGAGGAAGTTCTCACTCAGAAGAATGAATGGGTCACATGGTCTAAATATTAAAGCACTTCAATTCTTACGCATTGCCACAGCAAATATAGAGCTAACATGAGCATTTATAAGCACAAATTTCAGATTAGCCCAATGGAAACGCTCTTCTTTCAGCTTTATCAGGATGACTCACACAAAAGCAGAAATATTGCATCATCATTTGGACAAAGTCTAACACATTTCCCTGCGTGCTGTTTCCAGTCGCATGCACCTTCTACCTTGGATACCGAAGCCCTAGCTGCACACTTGTGCTGTAGACTGCATCGATCTGCAGGTTTTTTTCTATAGAATATCTTTGACGGGAACTTCTTTGTTGCGGACGATGGGACTAGTGAGCTGTTTTGTAGGTTTGGTATATGAGATATTATACAGTTTTCCTTATCGCTTCTCGGGCTGAAACATATACTTAGATTTAGAAAACTAAGAAATATGAAACTTATATTTCATATTCGTAAGTTTGGCACTTAAGGCAACTTTATAGTTTTCATTTCCTTGTTTCGTATTTGCTGATGATTTGCACACGTTAATTGCTGAAATATTTTTACTTGCGTCATTTCACGTAAATGTTGATAACGAAACTGTTCATTATATATAAAATGTATAAATATGGCCTTGGCTGTTCGCGACCTCATGCATTGATCATATTAGACTATATAATATCGATGACGGGCAATGAATTATAATTTGAAAACATTCAAGGGATAATGATAATTCAATGGAGTACTAAAAAAAGTAATAATGAAGCTATCGAGATGGTTTTATTTTTCAGGTTAAATAATAATAGCAATATTATTACTATTTCTCGGATGATTCGTGGTGCAAAAAATGCTTAAATGTTATAAAGCAGCAATGTTATCTTGGAGCAGAATGTAGAATGAAATACCGTGACATACACTATCCATTCTGATGTGCGCGTTGCGAGAGCTCGAGTTGCGCCTTCTCTTACACGCGTGTGTGCACTGCGTAACACATCAATAAATTATCTCTGCCTTTCACACTGAAAATCTCTGCCGTTTGAGTGTTGGCTTCTTATATTGTACACGTGTGATTTTAACATAGCTCACTAATGCTAATGCCGAACTCAAGATCTCATTTCTTTTCGTTTTTTTTTCAATGAGCTAGCTTGTAGATGATTTTACTTGATACTGAAACCAGTTCTACAAATATATAATATGTGGCTGGAAGAAAAACAATATAGCTACAACTCGAGCATGAAATTGCCGTCCGTGTCCAAGAGTGCTGTCTCCATTGCGGACACAGCGGAAGTAACATTACAGCCTTCAAATTGAATTGAATTCCAAATCATTGTAATGTGACCTGACATGAATATCTTCATTTCATGTCCAGAAAACATCTATACACACAACAATTTACTACGAAGAAAACTCTGACTTGGAATTAGCTACGGTATCATGGAGTTGGGTGAGATTTCATGTAGCAGGTAAAGGAGAGAGCAAGCAACCCTCAGAGAGGCGGAGCCTAGCCGCCCCTGCCACGCATGAGCGATCGAACGTTCACCTAAAGGGAGCTGCCAGCAGCAGCGCCCTCTACGCAGGGGAACGCAGCCTTCGGGCAAATGGGGTTCTGGTGCGATGGACGCACTCCACGGAGCTTCTTCTCTGCATCAACATTTACCCAAACTCAATTCACCGGTAAAGAATATAAATACATATATTAAAATCACATAACATTACAATGATTACAATTATTAAAAGTCAAATTTAATTTGAAGGCATTAATGTTACGTCAAGCGCCTCAGCAATTTCTACAACACTTGTGTACACGACGGAAATTTCATGCTAGCATGGCATATCGCTTTTCCTACTATCATAATCATCAACGGGCTTCAACGCGGTTATATATTCTGAATTTCAGATCAATCCGTTCATAAGTGAGGGACTTATGAGCGTTCTGTTCCGAAAAGTTGTGTTTTGAGTTTGAGCCTCTTTAACAAATTCTCGCGTGAACTCCCTGAAGTGTACGTTGATCATGTAGCTTCTTCCTACTCAGTTCAACAACTTAACATGTTCAGTAGACATTTAATATGTATTGCACTCATGTAATAGTCCTCAATATTTTCTTTAAATTATATTTATGAAAATCGGGAAGAAAATTTAAAGCCATTTTTATGAATTTGGATCGTTGCAAGATCTTTATTCATCTTCAAATATTTCTTATATTCATCGACGTAAGACGGTATACACGTAATTATTTATTGAGGCTAAATTCTTCCTACTCGATGATAGTCTTAAGCAAATCATTGCAAACGCTTTCATTGACAAGAGAAAATGAAGTTCTCTCTGATTGCAGTCTGGGAACTTAGTTGTGTTTTCTGTAACATCACATTTAGAATCTGGAGGAAAATAAATCTTATTTTCCAAATTTAGCCTCACGGGAGCATCATATTTGTACGAGGTAATCATGCGGATGCATGTATTATGCTCAACATTTCTTGTGAATAATTGTGAGAATAATATAATACAGTTACATTACTCATCAGTCGTCACCATATAATAGGTCACCTATACTGAAATTGAAAATGTATTTCCGTGACGTCGGAATGGTAGGTCATATTATTACCTATTAACACTCGCACTCGTGGTAAGCCATAATGTCTAATCCTTTATTTGTACTGTAATTTGTAGTTGTAGTGTATAAATCAACGGTGAAATAATGAAGATGGACATGAAGAAATAGTGGTGCAAAGGAACACTAGAGGGCGGGGTAGCGGTAATGGCATGACGGTGAGATGACGCCCAAGTGACTCAGGGGCCGCTACCGTCTGCGAGCCACGGGCCTTGTCAGTGTAGCGGCGGCAGTAGTGGAGGGTGGTTGTGGTCAGGGGAATGTTGCTCACTCCCGCGGCACTTCCACAGAAGATATCGATTTTTGTTTAGAGCGCAAGACTGTATTCAACTTCGACTGTAATATCTCCTCGTGTATTTATCGGCAAGTACAGGAACATATTTCCATCTAGCTGATGCGAACTTTATTGGTTTATGAAATAATCAAGGTTAAAATCTGGATCGTGAACTGCTCCCGTAAAATTTTCCAGGGTATACAAGCGACTTTAAATATCACGGCATCAGGTGGCTTGAAGCTGCGTTGTGCTGAACAGCACCGCATCACGTGGTGGAGTCTGTACCATTTTAATCTGCCTTCCTCTACCTACAGACAACACTTAACTGTATTGAAAAACACACATGATCGTGGCCTAAACACTGTGCCCTGTCTTTTGAATAGTTTTTAAATGAAATGCTGTGATTCTTGGCTGGAAAAACGAGTACCTGCCAACTCAGAGATGCCAAAACATGATATGCCAACTTTTTTACTGCGTACTTGGCCTGTTTGTAGAAAACAATTTTCATGCTAGATGTACTTTGCCTAACTTTATCCTCTTGAGTCTTTCATGTGTGTGCTCCAATGACTCCTGTTGGTTGATGTGAAGTAGTTTATTCGGAAAATAATACTCAATTCTTGAAGTGGACATCATTCGACCAGATCTCTTCGGCGAGACAGAGCTGCTGTTCCCGATTTTTCCCATCGGTAAGTCAATTGTTTATTAAATATGAATTTGGATTTGCAGGCCTTTTGTAATTCCTTAATTATCAGTTTCAATTTCTATATTTTCATTTTCTATTTATTTGACTCAATTGTAAGCTCATTCCCAATAAAAGTTTGAGGAGCGATGCTAGTTAATATGGATAAATATCAGTACGAATGAACTGTAATCGTCGTACGCCAAGCAAGCACATTACACACTAAGTACTCTACAGTATATGGCGTTTGTTTGAAACGCATGAATTTCTATGTTGAGTTTCGAGATCTTTTTAATACTCGTTTTTCAGCAGCAGCCACAAGGTAAACGCAAGTGGCATGTGGGTAAAAAAAATATGGTGACCAATCAAATATTGTAAAACGCTATCTATATTCATTATAAAATGAACACCCGTAAAAAATGTTAACCCATATACCTCCGTATGTCACTCTCCAGGAAGATAACTTTCAAGTTAAATTATACTTTAGTTTTTATTCTTTCTACAACTATTGAGTGCATGTAGCAACCTGCATGAGGACGTTCGTACGCAACAGAGAACATTTTAAAGTTGTACGTGGGAACGTGGCGGCAACCATCAGTGCAAGTCATTTTGCGCTCACTAGAACGTATCCTGTTTCTGGGTAGGCTTGTGTGACAATATTCCTAAAATTTGTATAATTCATGAAGATGTTCACGAACTTTTACCTGCTTAAAAATACGGGTACATATTACTTTGTTTGACTTTTAGATTTCCTGAAACACTTTTAATTGCAAACTTGCTTATGAAAGTACAAGACTCATGCAGTTTTGTGTTCTAATAATCTGTAACTACTGGCGGTGTTTACTTGGAATGCGTCAATGTCTTTAATCTTGCTGTTGAGTAGAAGCTCGGTTGCACAAACAGGTACTTAATTTTTTTTTTGTTTGCTTGTTTGAACCATCACGTATACCACCCGAGCTGGAAGGTTCGGTCCAGAAAACCTTATGTGCTTCCTGTTTCCTGCTCAGCTGAGATTAATGCCGTGATAACCAGGCAGCATTTTAGGGCCGGTCGCGGGTATACCTGATCCAACGGGCATATGCATATATGCCCGTTCGAGCAAGCGTGTTTACCATCCCTATATAAGTGTATGCATGACAACGACTACTGTCACATACTAGCACTTAGTGCGCATATCCCTTAAAAGTCAGTGCAGAATTGAATTAAACATTTATATATGTCTGGATCAATATTGTACGAGTAAAAGAAACGAGTATATAAGGTATTTCTATGGGTTATAGTACCCTTGCTATGTGCTCCTACCTCTGTTTTCAATAATTTTCGCTCACTAATTAATGTGTTGGTAAGTATTTTCATAAAACAAATTTTTTTATTCGCCTGCCTCAAATTGGAATCCTTCATCTGCGTCAATTCCAGTATTGGTCAATAATATCAATTCGTGATCAATTAGATGTACCTGGATAGCTTTTAATTAATTTAATTTGGCAGAATAAGCTCAGACCATTGTCAGCTGTCATAATCAATTTTCCACGGAACAGATAACGTGCAACGTTATACGGTGAAGATTTGTATTAAAATTAACACTAAATCAATCTTCCCGTATATGAATTTCTGATAGTGATTATTTGATATTTGTTAACTTAAACTTGGGTGGTCACTAAACTTTTTTTTATTCTACCTTCTTATGAATGCAATGCGACAACGCACTGTTCAGACTTCATTAATGTATGCAAGACGTATCATTGAGGGTCAACTTGTGCATTAAAAGGTATAGTAAGTAAAATATTTTTATTGTGTGATTCACTTAACATAATGCATTTCATGCGAACACGTTTGCGTCATAGGTGATTTACTATTTACTACGGACACTTCACTGAGTAATAATACGAAGTTCTATGCTGAAGCTTGCACTGTGTATAATTATTTAAATTTGAAAAATGAAGCCTATGTGTGCTCATCAGCGGCCCGTATGTGTACGGTGGCACCTCACTCATGCACCCACATTTCAGAGAACCCTTTTGTTAAACACTGGTCGTCAGACTGCCTGCCTTTTATATTACTATGGATATTGCAATTAGGGTAGCTTATTAAAAGCTATTGGTAGCTGAACATGCAGCTTTTTGTCATTGTCCACTAAGATGAAAATTAATTTTTTCTCGATTTTGTCAAGCGTCAGCCTTAAATTCTGTTGAATTTTATTATATGTTTATGGGAGCAAACTTTTATAGACATTGTCTATGCAAAGCACAGCAAGCACTCGCAATCACACGCAAGGCTGGGCACGTGCGTGCAAGCAGCAGCCGTTCCTGCATGCGGTTGTTGACGTTGCGGCGTTGTGGCGGCCTGCAAACAAAGCTTTGAGAAAGCACAACAAAGCGAGCCTGCCTCACATCTATACTCTCCCAGTCTTGAGGCATGATCCTGTGTCCATGTATTGCATGCATGCAATTTCACACATAGTCGCGCATGTAATGGATACACAAGGGTATTCATGTATACAACAGCACCCTGGAGGCGAAATCAATTCACGATTCATAGTCAAGAAAAATTAAGGTACCAGTATTGCATGAACAATTCTAGTGCGTCTTTTATTCATTTCCCTTATGTAAAAATGATGTAGGTATGCTATCACATCCGTGCAATGATCTATAATTGTACCAAATTTAACTGGAATTTCAATTGCACAAGCTCGGTATATCTGCTTGAAACTAATGTTACCTATATGCTCATTTTTTTTTAATTTCAAGAATTTAAGTTAGGATTTGGGAAAAAATAATTGTATTTTTATTGTTTAACTCTCCCCATTATCGCCCGCCGCTAAAGGGAATGACTTCTTGTCCGAAACATGTACTTAATTCTGTAATTTTTCTAATTAATTGTATATTCAGAACGCATTTTTTCGCACAAAATATACAGGCTATACCTTCACGTATTCAGCATTAACGGCACCAATTACTTGCCTTTGTATAATCGGCATTTCTCACGTACCCGACCAAAACCTTTGCAAACCAAGTCAAAATTATTTATATCATGAAAAAATAGTAGAAAATAATAATAATCTAATAAATGCTTATGTTCATAGATACACACTTTTCACCCTCACAAATGTTACAAGTGCAATGCTCATAAGTGCAATACAAGTGCAATAGCTCATATATAATTATTCACTTTTTTATCAGCCCCGGCCGTATTTCATTAGACAGTCGCTCCGCGTAAAAACCGCCTGTAATTTTGAATAGGATAACACAGTGAACACAAATTTAGAACCCACATATTCTGTCGAATCATCAGACAGGCCGCTCTACCATCTTTTTTTTTAAAGTCACAGTTGGTACGCAAGTGGCCACCGAATATTCACGTTTGACCGGCTAAAATCTGTCTTTTATTCCCAGTGAGATTGATGGCTGCCCAACGCCATTAATATACTACAGAGACCCGCTGCAAGCCAGCCCGCGGAACACCCAAACCTCCCTCCCTATCCCACAGTCAAAATTCGGCGAAATAAACGCCTGCAGATCGGTGTAGCATCAGTATTGGACATTAATTTCCTTTTCAAAATCGGAGCAGGAAGCAGCCGTTTTGTAGCAGGAATTACACATGAGAATATATTATAGGCGACGCATGGTCCTCCTCCAACCCCCGTAGGAGAGTAGCCGCCAGGGTTGACCTCGGCTCCTGAACTTGACCTCGAACATCGCTTCTTTAATCTTAAAGTCCCCCGGGCTTACGACCATTCAGCTCCACTGTATTCTCGCTAACGAGCAAACTTCATGCGTCGCCATATTTCAGACGGCGCCCTCCTTATCCTTTATTATTCAAAAACCAACGCGGAAATGTTCTAATTTTCTGTGCAAGACGCTTTGGTACAGGTCCTTCGCATTAACCTAAGGATAAATAGATGAATAGCTAAGGGATTTGCAACAGGGGGCTGGAATATCTGTGGGTTTCTCAGGTTTCTTTTCTAGCATCCATTTTGTTCCCTGAAATGATTAACTTGAGAAGGCATGTGACTTTAGTTAAAAATCACTGCGCACATCAATTAATGTATAGCAATTTGAAGTGTACGTGCCCAGCATGTAGGAGCTTCATATATAGGCTTCACTACCATCACACATGTGATGATGCAAGGCGTTATTAATAATTATCTCTACATTTAATATTCAACGCACACTTTTTTCCTGATGAAATGATTAAAAGTGCATGTAACATTTCGATTATGTTAACGCATTGGGTACGTATCAATGAGTGCACTTAAACTCTGACCGCAGCAAGTCTTCTTGCTCTAAGTGCACCTTAATTTATAGTCACGTTAGCTTCCATGAACTTCTTAAAATTCATCTAATTAATATTAAGTTAATGAACATAACAGAATTGTGGATTGGTGTACGTTTGTTAGGATTTTTACTCAAACTTAAGGTTGAAAATTCATACGTATGTTAGGATTTTTACTTAAATTTAATGTTAAAACTTCAACCTAATCTAATATAATAATTTCGTGCATTAAGGTTTAGTGCACGTTTGGCAGTCGCTGCATGGAAACAACGTCTAACCAAAAGTTTTCAATGAATGCCATTGCTTGGGAAAATGTTCTAAGTGGTGAGATGAGGCGATGTATCTGAAAACGTGGCTCTTTTCGGTCGTATTAGACGTGTTGCACGTGCTTGTCACAAAGATAAATATTATATTCACGTGTTCACATATCTAAGATATATAGATACCTTATTTTCAATTGATTGGTTCTGTACACCTTTAACGCCAGCAACTACTTATCTTCTATAGGATTATGGCCTAGATACCATTAACATGAATGATCTTATTATTATTCTTACTGCTATTAAGACTGTTCCGATTATGTCAGCTGACATTCCAACGACTTCTTAATATTTTTATCCCTAAAAATCAACCAGATGATTTTATGTTAATCAGTCACGAGGTTATCATGCCGAGGTATAGCTGACCACACCACGCTCTCACTAATGAGCCACGTTTCTTATCGCGTGCCCGGTT